ACTCTGTCTCTGGTGAAGCCTCTCACCTTCCACATCTCTGGCCTGTACCCCAGTTCTGTATGCATAAATAAATAAATCTTTAAAAAAAATTATTTAATTATGCATGCAAGAACTGGGGTACAGGCTAGAGGTGTGGAGAGTAAAAGGATTCACCAGAGACAGAGCGGGGAGCAGAACAGACCGATCTACTGAAATATACTGCTGAGGGGAGCAGTGGGTGAGACAGGAGAGGTCTGCTGCGTCATGTGGGTCAGCTCCCTGGCTGGGGACCAAACTCCTGCTGCAATGGCTGGCCACAGCTTGATAGCACTGACTTTAATCCTTGTGCCACAAGTGAGGCCTGTGTTCATTTATTTATTATACAAAGGTTCTTTATGGAGAAATGATTTACAGAGGCAACTCACAGTGTTAACTTGGTAACCTGTGTTTTTCCTTGAGCACCTGTGATGCTGCGCTCCAGGCCGGCAGCCCCGAGCCTGTGAGTAGAGGAGTCAGTACATGCTGAAGCAGGCATTTAGAATGTGGTTGTTTTATATTGGCTATTTTACTGTTGATGTATTATCAATTCCAGAAGGGATTCCTCTGTCTATGTCTCTAAAAGCATAATAGAAACAGTTTTCTAATTTCATCTTTCCTTTCTGCACAATGAACCAAGGCCAGACCTGTCAAGAATGTACCATCACATTATAGTCTGGGAAGGGAGCAAATGAAAGGATTTGTTAAAGGGTTTTCCATCGCCTTCTGCCTTCTTCTGACTAGTGATCCTGTATGCCTATTCCTATCAAGGCTGGAAGGGAGAGAGCACACACATGAAAACAAAACAAAACAAAACAAAACAAAACAAAACAAAACAAAACAAAACAAAACAAAACAGGGGAAGGTCAAATAGGAAAGTGTTAGTGATATAAAAGTCTGAGGGAAAGGGCTCAGCCTTCATTCAAAAACCGAGTGAAGCTCATCATGAAGATAACTATATGTTTGAATTTTAAACCTTTGTCCCCTACATTTTTTCTAAATAGCACGAGCTTTGCAGGACAGAAAAATCCTCTCTGAAGACAAAGCTTTCACCCTCGCATCAGGTAATGAGTATCCTTCTTTCACACTCTCATCACTTCAACTTCAGAAGGGAAAACAGAACTGACACACATTTGACCTGAATATAGGGTGTTTTGGGATGGACACTGGGTGACAGGGACACCTTAAAGTCACATCTCTGAATGTGGACAGAGTATGCAAGTGAACTTGAGGCACTGTCAATTGGATAGATGGGTGACCTCTGATTTGCTTTTTAGTTTTATCTAAATTGCATAGTTAAAGTTAGATTTTTTAAAATCTAAATTGTTAAAAAATATTTATTTTATTAATCTTTAATGATTTATTTATTTATGCATACAGAACTGGGTACAGGCCAGAGGTGCAGGGGTGGTGAGACAGTTCAGAGTGGGGAGCAGAACAGGCAGACTGATGAAGTACACTGCTGAGGGGAGCAGCGGGCGTATCAGGAGAGGTCTGCTGCACCCTGTTAGTCACCTCCCTGGTTGGGGATTGAACTGGTGCTGAAGTGGCTGTGGGTAGCTTCTTAGTACTTCCCTTTAACCCAATGCACCACCAGGGAGGGCCTGATAAATAATTTTTAGATAAAACGTTTTTAGGGAAAATTTTAAAAACCTAAATTGCATAGTTAGATAATTATGCATCTAGCATCTTGTAGATCATCTATACATTAAGTTATTCCATTTTGCTTAATATGTTTTAGGGCTGTGGTGTCCTAAGTTCTTGCTATATGCTGTCAGAATTGGGCAGAAGATGATGAAAAGAAGAAAAGGAAATGGAAGTATTGGAAATGAAACGAATGGGAAGGTGGTTCATTCCCAGGTAATCAGGTATGAACTCCACCATCTCTATGAACAATAGTTAAAGCCTGTAAAAGGAGAGTGTGACCAAAGGCCCAAAGAATACAGGAGCTAAGGAAGAAATTTTGGAGTCAAGTTCAAGGGACTTTCAAGAGGAGAGGAGTGCTGGGTTTGGTATAAAAGAAAACAGAAGTGGATTGGTTATGGGGTTAGGACAGACAAGCAGTCATGGGAGAGCCCTCAATAAATGTCCCAAGGAGGCCATCCCTGGTGGCGCAACAGGTTAGGATGCAGCACTTCAAGCTAGCCATAGCCGCTTCAGGGAGTTCGATCCCCAGCCCAGGAGGTGATCCACATGGTATGGCAGACCTCTCCTGACCGCCTGCTGCTCCCCTCAGCAGTGTACTTGTCAGTCGGCCTATTCTGCTCCCCACTCAGTCTCTGGTGAATCCTCTCAACGCCCCTGCACCTCTGTCCTGTACCCTAATTCTGTATGTATGCATATATAAATAAATCTTTAAAACTAAAATGAAATTAAATATAAAATAAATGTCCCAAGGAAACCATGCCAACTCAAAATGCTTCTGTACAGCAAAATAACCTATCTTTAAAACAAAAAGACACTGAGTGGGAGAAAATATTTGCTCATCATACATCTGACAAGGGGCTTGTGCCAGAGAACTACTAAGAACTCACAGAACTCAACCAAAAGAAAACAAATAACCCAAATAATGAATGGGTAGAAGAGCTCAAGAGATATTTCCCCAAAGAAGACATACAGATGGTCAACAGGCCCATGAAAAATGTTCAGTGTGACTTAACATCAGGGAAATGCAAATCAAAACCCAAGGAGAGATCACCTCATGCCTGTGAGAATGACCCATTTCAAAAAGGCCAGAAACAGATAAAACAACACTTTTACACTATTGGTAGAAAATAGACTGGTTCAATCTTATGCAGTATGATTTCTCAGTGGTTCTCAACCACTCCCTAGGGAACATTTTGAAAATTTGTAGGCTTTCTTTTTGTAATTACAGTGACAGAGAGGGGCACTTTGATATTTATGGTTAGCACAGGGGTAGAAATTTTTTTTCAAAGCACGGCCTGTACAAGGAATAGTTGTCTCTCATCCAGATTCTCAAGTGTCCCCGAGGACATTCTTGTAGGTGAAAATCTGTGTTTAATTATCTGAGCCTAGAATTTAATACAGTTTTTTTTTTTTTAAAGAACCAGTTTTAATATATAATGAACTTCTAGGAATGCAATTACAGTTCTTTGTAAATTTAGGGAAGATTGACTTCGCTTCCAAGATTTGTTCAACAATTCATTAAATCACTTCTCTTACGGCAACATGCTGGAGGTAGTTGAGTCACCGACTCAGCACCTGTGTCAGTCTGTGTTTGTAGCAGTTCCGTCCCCGCGAACATTTATTCTCTGGATAAATGCAAGCATCTGCCTACTTCAGGGTGACTCCTAGAGTAGTCAGGTCTCAACACACACACTTTAAAATATTGTTGATGTTATTTTACTACAAATTACTCTTTTAAATTTCCCCTTTATGTTACAGATAGGGACGCGTGTTGGTTTTTTTTTTTTTTTTTTTAAAGATTTATTTATTTGTGCAGACAGAACTGGGGTACAGGCCAGACGTGCAGGGGTGGTGAGAGTATTCATCAGAGACAGAGTGGGGAGCAGAACAGGCAGATCAACGAAGTACACTGCTGAGGGGAGCAGTGGGCAGATCAGGAGAGGTCTGCTGCACCATGTGGGTCACCTCGGGGCAGGCGGGAATCAAACTCATGCAGAAGTGGCTTTAGCTTCTTAGTGTTGTGTTTTAACCCGCTGCCCAAAGAGTGTATGGAGGGCTTCCCTAGTGGCTTAGGGGTTAAAGTGTCAATGCTATCAAGCTATGACCAGTCTTTGTGGCATGAGTTTGATTCCAGGACAGGAAGCTGATCCACATGGCCCAGCAGACCTCTTCTGACCATCCTGCAGCTACCCTGGGCAGTTTATCTCACTTGATCTGCCTGTTCTCCCTACTCAGTCTCTGGTGGATCCTCTCACCCCCCCAAACCTCAGCCTACACCCCAGTTCTTTTATGCATAAATTTTGTATGCATAAATAAATACAAATCATAAAAAAATTAATAAATAGTGTGTGTAGGTAGGTTACACGACCCATGAATTCCAATGAGCACGGTAAAGGAGTCAATACAAAATGTTTGTTATAAAAAGGGTTGGGGGTTGAGAACTTCAGTTCTAATTAGTCTCCAGTATTTTATATCTCCTCCACCTCTTTCCCAGGACCAGCCAGAAAAAAAAGCTTTTTCTTCTCCTGTCCCTTCCGAAGGAACCCTCTTCTCTAGCAGTTCAAACTCCCATGAATACACCCACACCCACACCCCTTTCACCACCAGACAATAGCCAGGAGCTTATGGAATTGTCAAGAAGCTCACACTTGTCCTGTCTCCAGAGCATCCCCTTGCCTTTTAGTCAAAAAATATTGATTCCTAGGCCCTGTAGGAGTATAGGAGATCGTTTTGGCTCCAGTGCACCTGAAGGCTCTTTTTTCCTGCTACTCTTTCAGTTTCTCCCCTCCATGCCCAGTTCCCGGTCTTTGGCCTCCAACCCTCCAGGGTGTTCGCTTGGAGATGCAGCCAGTGGCCGTGCCGCAGGGCCCAAGGGGTCGCCCGCCCTGGGTCTCTTCCCACCCGTCTCCCGCGCGCTCCGGTGGCCCTGGGCCTCCGCGCCTCTCCCCTCGGTCCTCCCATCCTGCCCGGGGCTTCTCTTTGCTCTCCCTCAGTCTGCTCCTCCTAGCCCTCGGCCCCTGCCTGTCTCCCCTCACCCCGCTCCAGGGCTGCCTAGTCGGTGCCACCGTTTCTTCCCACCTGCATCCCAGATTCCCCATCTCGGGGCCACTCCTCTGCCTTTGACCGGGGCGGGGGGCTAGGAGGGTTCGCCCCCACCCCAGCGACCAGTCGTCTCGCCCGTGAGTCCGCGCTGGCCAGCGCCGGCGCCCGGGTCGCCCCCGCCTCCCCGCCCGGCTCCCCCCGCCCCGGGCGCAGTGGGCGGTCCAGGGCGGGGCCGATTCCGGGGCGGCTCCCGGGGCTCGGCTTGTGGGAGGTGCCCTCTCCCCGGTCTCCCCCTCTCTCCCCCCCTTGCCTTCTCCCGCACCCTCCTTCTTCCCTCCGCCCGGGAGCTTTCCCTGGTCCCCGGCGCCGCCTCCTTCCCTCCCGACTCTCGGCTCCCGCGGCCGCCGCCGCCCCGGGGAAGGAGAGACGGGGGTGGGGTTTGGGGGACGCGAGAGAGGAGGGAGAGACCCTGACGGGGCCGGAGCTCGGATTCTGGGGAAGGAGGGACGGGAGGAGAGGAAAGGTGGAGAAGGAAGGAGGGGGCAGCGGGGCGCAGCGGCCGGGGCCGGGGCCTTGAGGCCCGGGAGAGCCAGGGAGCAGGGCCAGCGCGCCGAGGTAAGAGCCAGGGCCCGGGGGAGCGGGG